GTTGAAACCTCATCTGTTGGCTCCGTGTTCGTATTTTATCATCGCCGCCAGGGAAGTCTTTTTGTTACTGTTGCCATTTTGGTATTTGAACCATCACACCTGTACTATACCAATTACGGTAATATTACGTTGCGTGTGACAGTGCTGTACAGTTGTACTAGTTAGCCTTAACTCTTTGAGCATTATCAATTTTCCTTGACAACATTTTGGTACAACATGTTGTGATTTTTAAGTAATTTTCTATATTTTATTTTCATAATTTTGAACACAATGGATATAATTTCCTAATCCTAATCAAAATTTTGTTTTGTGAATGTTGACTAAAGTTGACTTGATACCTAAAAAGGTTTAAGCTACAAGACTACTAAACAGCTTACCTCTGAATCAACCAAAACTTTTAATTCAAGAGAATACTTCCAGTCTAGCAAAATTACTGAATTTTTGTCTTTCATTGTATCACATTAAACCACATGACCCTCAGTCTAGCAAACCACATGACCCTCAGTCCAGCAAACCACATGACCCTCAGTCCAGCAAACCACATGACCCTCAGTCCAGCAAACCACATGACCCTCAGTCCAGCAAACCACATGACCCTCAGTCCAGCAAACCCACACAGCTGCCATGCTCAGCCTGCATTTTCAAAACTCTTCTCAGTCTTCTAAATCAACAAAAGTCCTTAGATGTAGTAAATTATAATTTCTCATGAAATATTTTATAACATCATACCTTATTTCTTTTTAGTAACTTTTCAATATTCAATTCTTTGGCTAGCTGTACTCTGTTGCTTATACTGTCTCTTGTTCGGGGGAATTCTTTGTCCATCGTGTCTAGTGTATTCTTCAGCCCCTGCAAAAATGATAATTACACATGTACAATGAAAAGACCAATCAACCTATGATTCATAAGTCCCAAGTTCAAATCCACTCTGGGATTGAAAACCCCCCAAAAAAGTGACCAGTCTCAGTCTGGGAAAGATTGACTTAATTAATGAAGATGCAGTAGCCACTGGCTGAGATTCATTATGAATGAGACTTTCAGTAAACTTTTGATAAGGTCAGGGACTGTTTGTGTTCAACTAGGCTTTGTTGACACCAGCATAGTGCATTAAATTGCCATTTGATAAAAAGATGGTTCCACAGGCCTGTAATGTAATCTAGCATTTACACAGAGATAACAGTGGCACTTAGAGTCAACTGATATGAAAAAAAAAATAAAAAAATAAGTATGTACAATTATCAAAATATAAATAACACATAGAAAACTGATTTTATAGAGAGTATAATATATAAATGAAACAAGTCATTGTCAATGACACGTCCCCGTTCCGTTCATATTTGAGTGACATATACATTCAAAGCAGATCATGACCGAAATGCACCTGCATATGTACAACACATTGTGCTAAATCTGAACAAAATCCATTCATGCATGACTGAGATCCGGTTCTGGAATTGTGAAAATACGTGATTTTGATGCATTTTCGGCCTTAAAATGGCCATCATTCCGCTATTGTTAAGCAGATCATGAAACAAATGCACATATCTATTTGTGACATGATGTACCATGTGTGTGTGAAGTTTGAACTTGATCAATCCAGACATGTC